AGAAAAAGAGCACCATGACGCAATTCATTCCGCCAGAAATTTGGTAACAGCATGCGGTACTGCTTTGCATTTGCACTGGAAACTCCAATAGGAACATTTCAGAATGTTTTGGTATCAATCCTTGGACAGTGCAGATGATTCAGATGATACTAATTGTGATTACTAAGGTTTTTGGAGTGATCACTAGTTATGGTGACGTTATGCTTTCATTCATCTTCCAAGAAGGCTTCAAACTCAATACGGAGGTAGTTCTGCCCTGGGTCAAGTGGGTGGCTGCTGGAAGACCCTATGTCTGGCAAAAGGACTCTGCACCATGCCACACAAGCAGGAGAACCAAGTCTTGACTGTCCGACAAATTCTGCAACCACATGACCGCTTGCATCTGGCCACCTTACTCCATAGACTGCAAATTATTATGTGTGGGGAGCAGTTGAGCGAGAGATGAACAGCACTCCTTGGAACACCAAAGATGAATTGAAGGCAAGGATTATGGCAGCATTCACCAAGTTAAAAAAAAAAAGAAAAGGGAGACCGTCCAGAAAAGATGCAGGAGATTCCGAAGTCGACTGGAGACTGTAGTTGAAGCTAACGGGGGTTTATTGAATAAATTGTCTCTTAAGTATTTCATTTTGGGTGATTTTGGTAAATATCCCTTTTAAAATGAGATGTCAGTGTTATTATCAATTTTGTGTAATTTAGACGACAATTTATCCATCGCATCCTGTACAACCGTTCTCTCAGATCAATGAATGAAAATAGCTTCCAGCGAATAAATCCTTTAGACAACACTTTTTTTCAGATCTTATAGACTAGTTCTGCAGAATCACACACAAAGAACTTTACCAAATCACCAAAAAAGCACATCGCTTGACGACTTCTAGTAGCAAAAACAACTAAAAATTAATATCGAATGTAACTGGAAGTGCTAATAATGATATAATCAAAATGCTAACTTTCTACACTGCAAAGGTTTGGAAAGAAATTACTCTCTCTCTCTCTCTCTCTCTCTCTCTCTCTCTTGTCTTGTAACGGTATTCACCCGGGGTGGGGTGAGCCGGCTCCAATTGAATTAACTGCATCGCGCGTCAAGGCCATCCACCTTCGTCGACCGGCAGCAGAATCGACGGCATGATCAAGCCATTCGCGATTCCAGCGTCGGACCCCGAAAACGCGAGTACCGGACATGAGTTCCATATCTGCTTTGACCGTTGCGAGCTACGTCTTGAGTTGACCACCTCGGCGCTTCCTCCAACCAGTGGGTGCGTTTGGCCACCAGTTTACGGACGAACTCATCACCAGGGTGTCTCCTGTTAAGCAGAGTTTCTTCCAGGCCCAGAATGTTGCATCTGGCGCGGATAGACGAGTTGGGGATCCTGTCGGAGAGGCGCACACGCAGGATACGGCGGAAGCAGTAGTGATCGAAGACCTCAAAGTTATGAAGATCCTCTCTGCGCAGTGGCCAGGTCTTCTCTTCTTGTTCTTGTAACGGCATTCACCCGAGGTGGGTTGAGCCGGCTCCAATATTGGAGTTTCATGGGAATTTGGAATTCACAAGCGGTCCCCAACCCGCATGTATAGCACATGAGAATTGGTTATAGTGGTGAAGTTTTCGTGCAGGACCATCCACACTTTTTGAAGGGCGATTACAGAGACCTGGTGCACTACGTGCCACAAGGTCCCCAAACGACCCTTCGCAGGTTTTGAATTCAGAGTTGTCCTTCTCCTAGACCAGTTGCTAACCAAGGCTATAAAACCCAGTCTGTACTGCTATTTACCCATAGCTGGAGGGAGAAGAAGAGGATTCACACCTTTCCCAAGGGTATTAGCACGTAAGTGAATGTAATGGATTCGAATGGAATTCGAACTCGGCTCTCCGATTCCTCAGTCCAAGCCGCTATCCATTACTCCACCGTGGTGGCCAGGTCTCACAAGAGAAGAATTGTTCTGACCATGGCTTCGTAGATTCGCAGATTCGTGGATCGTCTTATCTCCTGGCGAGACCAAAGTCGTTTTTGAAGAAAGAAATTACCATCAACAATAGAATAAGAGAGACATCAGGTAATGGCTATGAGGAACCTATTTTCTTGAAAAAAAAAAAAAACTTAAGAAAAAGATTTTAAAGATTTCTACTGAGACTAACGCGAACTGATCAGACAATGAATTACGAATGTTTGGTCCACGGAAATGGCTAATCATAAATTACCTGTGCGTTTAATCTCGAGCAAATTGAAACACATATTCAAGCAGAGCGTTGCAATTTTCTTTTCTTATGGTATTGCCTCCTCTTATGCGTGGTTTTCAATTACCTTTGGTCAATATTTCGCAATGAAATATGGCAATATTGCAGTGTAAACAAATAGTTCTTATTCGTCTGCAGCAATATTTCCGAAGTTATCGTGATGAAAAGCTGTTGCAAAGTTGATGTATCACTCGGACGTCGAGATGCCACACTAAAAACCCAAGGGATGATGTATTCTACTAGTGTAGAAGAAATTAATTTATCTAAGAGCGCTATTTCTATAATAATAAAACTTTATGATATGGCCCCTTTAAGCAATCGAAAGTTCTCGTGCGGCAAAGTAAAACGGCTCCTCGACAAAATCAGGCTATTCCCACTTCACGCACTTCCCCGATTTTTCGAACAGGACTAGAGATTTATCCCTTATTTCCTGTTTACGATTTGGTTTCTACCTGAACTCCGAAATTTTATTTACTCCTTATTTATTTCTTTTTTTTTCTCTTTTTTTCTCTCTTCTGTAGGAATGTCTACCTTCGCCTATCGCTCGGTTCACACCTTTCCCCGGCTTTTGAACAGGAGTAGAGATTCATTCCTTGCTCTCTGTTCAGGGTTAACCTCTTTGTGTCTTAGTGGCATTCTCATCTTGCTTGGGATGAATTGTAAGTCAATGAATCGAAGAGTTTGACGTGAACGTGTCGCATCGTTTAGGTAAAAGGTGAAAGCAATGCCCTTTAGACAAGGACATCTTTGAGGTTACTTTCTTTTGGCTGTTCATCTGGAGTTAACGAGAGTCTGAAAGGTAGTTTATCCTAAGAGTTAAATAACAGGACAATTGAATTGTTAAAATTGAAGCCGTAGTTGATTTAATTAACATCCGTTGTGTTGCGCAGAATTAAATTTTATTTCTGACAGTGATTGCTTTTCGCAGGATGTTGGCAGTGTTAAACTCCAAAAGTGCAACACTCTACGTCGTAATGGCTTTACGTTTTCAACTGGTATGAAGTAGAGCCAGTACATCGAATCAATTGCTTCGTCTGCTGCAAGTCTTTATGCCAGTTCATTGTGTCGGGTCAAAAAGGTTGAATCATCCTGCACATTTATAAATCTACGATCTCGTCTGTGGATTGAATACTATTGCCTTATTTGGTCTGGTGCTCCTTCGATACATCTCGAGAATTTTGACCAATTCCAAAGACTGTCTGCAACGAAATCGATCCTTGGAATCTCGACTTCAGTCACTTTCTCATCGACATGACGTGTTTTCCCTCTGTTTTTTTCTACAAATATTTTCATGGCAACTACTCTGATCAGCTTTTTTCACTGGTGTCCCGAACTTAAACGTGCTATTTGATTAGCAACTTTTTCCCGCCGTTTTACTGTTGAAATAGCTAAATGCAACCTCATCTTTTTTTACTCTGAGTTTCTTTTCTCTCACTTCTTACATGTGGAACTCCCAATTTCTTGCTTCCCTGCTAAACAAATCTTCACAAATTTAAATGCAACGTCAATCACCATCATCTGTAAAAATGGTTGCTGATGACATTAGGTTTATAATACCCAGATGTCCTCATGGCACAGTGGATAAAGGCGTTGGTTAGATCCAGTGACAGGACCCAAAGAGTGTGAGTTCAATACCCGGTTAAGGCAGTGGAGAACTTTCAGAGGGAAATTAACAGGAGATAACTGATAACTGACATCCATCAAACATGGCACGTGGAACTAGAACAGTCTACCCCGGTGAGCGAAATAAAGGGTTCAGTTCGACATTCCAACCACCTGAAGAAGGCCGGAGCGTACAACGGCCGAAACGTTGTGATAAATATGGCGACAAAGATGAGGAGAATAGTCCGAATAATGTAAATAATGTACAACATTAAATCATCGCATAAGTATTGTTAGAATTCAATGTACTGAATATTCCTGCCATACCTGGCTCGGTGCTTCTGTTACATATTTAGAGAGTCTTGATAAAATCAACAGAAAAATCTAGTTATTGGTTCTGACCTGTCATCATCTCGTTACTTTCCCATCGCCATAACATAGCTTCCCTGTGCCTTTTCTATAAATATTTTCATGCTAATTGTTCTTATGAGTTTTTCCCTTTACGAATTTAAACGCCGCTCTAGATTGGTAGCGAGATCTCATCATCTTAAAGCTTAGAAACTTTCTACCAGTTTCTTGCTTTCCAGTCAACTTTGGCGTTCATGAAATTAAATGCAATGTCAATCGCTATCTACTGTCCTCTTGATTACTCTTTTCTCTTCCCGCTCATTAGCAATATTTCCCTAATTCTTCCACACCCAGTAACCTGTTGCGTCTTAGTGGCTTTACTGTCTTACTTGGGATGAAATCGAAAGACCGTTCTAGTTATGCCGATAAACTGCATCCGAGTCCTGGGTAAGACGATAAACTACATCCAACAGCAAGCCTCTGATCAGGAGCTTCTGAGGAGTGTGGAAGCACCTCTTAATTGCTGGTGTTCCCGGGTCCACTCTGACCCGGGGTGGTAGCAGCTGTCAGGGTCCCAGCAATGGGCAAATAGTTACACACCCCTAAAAGGGGTCAAAACACTATGAAAGTGTAAAAATATGTTTTAATACCAGCAATACATTTTTCGAAAAAAAATATTAGCAGCAATAAGAAATTTTGTCGGCATTAAATAACCCATTTAGGTTGATATACTGTAAAGCAAAACAAACCAATTCAAAATCAAAAGTAAAACGCACAATTAAATCTCAACTGGGACCTTATATTTAAAGTGATGTTTATAGGTAATAAGTCTGGACCCAAGGAAATTTCATTGTCCCTCCTTGTTGAAAAATATCAGAAAAAAATGAAACCAGCCAATGATAATCCGCAGATCACTTCGATTTTTGAACATTCTATATATTCGGCAATATCGATTTCGAAAATAACTGACGTCTGTTGATGTCTCATTTTGAAATTTGCTTAGCGTCATTCTCTCCAAAGCCGTAATTGTGTGTAGTGAATAGCAAATAGAGAAAAGGAAATTGAATTTAAACCAGACTTATGTAAGCCGAAATTCGAAGATCTGAACAATATATGTGCATGATGAGATAAAAATTAAAATAATAATAATAATTGTGCGTTTTCTAGATCAGACAATGATTGGTAAAATATTGTTGGTTGTTTTTGTTCAATTAACACACATGAATATGTACTTCAGAAAAATTCTCCAGTGTTAACCGCATATTTCTTCATTAGCGTCTTTACGTTTTATATTTTCATTATTTCATTTTTTTTTTATTTTTTGTATTCTTCTTCAAATGTTTCTACACCAATGTTTCTTTCTTTCATTCTTTCTTAATTTCTTTCGTTCTTTTTTTTTCTTTCGCTCTTGTACGTCACTCTTTTTTCTTATCTCATTCGTTCTTTCTTTCCTTTCTCCTTCCTCCAATATTGCTTTCTTTCAATTCATTCTTTCTTCTCATCTTTCTTTCTTTCTTTTCCATTTCTCGTTTTCATCTAAAGCATTTTCTCTTCCCTTTTACTTCTGCACGTCAATTCTTTCTTTCTTTCTTTTTCTTTCTTTCTTTCTTTTTCTTTCTTTCTTTCTTTCTTTCTTTCTTTCTTTTCTTTCTTTCTTTCTTTCTTTCTGCCGTTTTTCTTTCTTTCTTTCTTTCTGTCGTTTTTCTTTCTTTCTTTCTGCCGTTTTTCTTTCTTTCTTTCTTTCTGCCGTTTTTTTTATTTCTTTCTTTCTTTCGTTCTTTCTTTTTCTTTCTTTCTTTCTCTCATTACGTCATTATTTTTTCTTAGCGTTTTCTTTCTTTCTTTTTTTCTTTCTTTTCCATTTCTCGTTTTCATCTAAAGCATTTTCTCTTCCCTTTAACTTCTGCCCGTCAATTTTTCTTTCTTTCTTTCTTTCTTTCTTTCTTTCTTTCTTTCTGCCGTTTTTCTTTCTTTTGTTCTTTCTTTCTTTCTGCCGTTTTTTTTATTTCTTACTTTCTTTCGTTCTTTCTTTTTCTTTCTTTCCCTCATTACGTCATTCTTTTTCCTTAGCATTTTCTTTCTTTCTGTCGCTGTTCTTTCTTTCTTTCTTTCTTTCTTTCTTACATTATTTCGTTCTTTCTTTCGCTCTTGCACTATATTATTTTTTCGTAGCTCTTCTTTTTTTTGTTTCTTTTGTTCCTTCTTTCTTTCTTTCTTTCTTTCGTACTTTCATTCAATCTTACACTTCATTCTTTTTTCTTCTTTCTTTCTTTATTTATTTTTCTCTTTGTTTCTTTCTTTCTTTCTGCCGTTTTTTTATTTCTTACTTTCTTTCGTTCTTTCTTTTTCTTTCTTTCTTTCCCTTATTACGTCATTCTTTTTTCTTAGCATTTTCTTTCTTTCTTTCTGTCGCTGTTCTTTCTTTCTTTCTTTCTTTTCCATTTCTCATTTTCATTTAAAGCATTTTCTCTTCCCTTTTACTTCTACCCGTTAATTTTTCTTTCTTTCTTTTTTTCTTTCTTCTTTTTTTCTTTCTTTCTTTTTTTCTTTCTTTCTTTCTTTCTTTCTTTCTGACGTTTTTCTTTCTTATGTTCTTTCTTTCTGCCGTTTTTTTATTTCTTACTTTCTTTCGTTCTTTCTTTCTTTCTTTCCCTTATTACGTCATTCTTTTTTCTTGGCATTTTCTTTCTTTCTTTCTGTCGCTGTTCTTTCTTTCTTTCTTTCTTTCTTTCTTTCTTTCTTACATTATTTCGTTCTTTCTTTCTCTCTTGCACTATATTATTTTTTCGTCTCTCTTCTTTTCACTCTTACACTTCCGGTCTTTCTTTTTTCATCTCTCCTATTTCTTTCTTTTTCTGCTTTGCATGTCCCACTTATTTGTCTTCATTTTATGCATGAACCTCTATATCAACTCCTTGTATTCATTTTGCCTACGTCTCTGCGGCTGTTCCTCGTCAATGTCATTCATGTTTCTTGTCCTCTTTAAGATGGCGCTTTTTCGTTCGTACTTTCTCATTGTTTTCATCTTTCTTCTTCCATTACTGTTTCTCTCGCCCATCACTCTCACACAAACGCAGACATATTCTCTATCGCCTTGAAATTGTTTTCCCTAACCTTGCTTATCATCGCCATGTTTTTCGCGTCTATGTTCCTTAACTTTCTTTTTTCTTAGAAAATAAGAAGAAAGTGTTTTCTTATATTCTTTTTCTTTAACTTGCTATTTGATCATTGAATCTACGTTAACAATGCAGGTCATTGTAAATGGTTTCCATATTGTGTCATATGTCCCAAATCAGACACTTTTACTAAACGGATAATCTACCATTCATACTATTACTCCATTCAGCTTGACAATAAGGAAACTCGCTCGCTTTGCCGTCTCTTCTAATTTTTCTCACTTTTCGTATCAATCTGTATTACTAGCGAATTTCCGTCGATCAGACACGGGTGTTTTGCTGCTTTGAGACCGGCACGTTAAACCGAATCAATGAACAATAAGTCTGCCTAAACCGTTGAAAAATAATAGATTTACAGCCAGGTGTGCTTTACAGAGGGACATCTTTGAGTCTACTTTCTGTGCACGTGGATTCAAAGAGAGTCTGAAAGGTAGTTTATCCTAAGAGTTAAATAACAGGACAATTGAATTGTTAAAGTTGAAGCCGTAGTTAATTTAATTATCATCCGTTGTGTTACGCGGTATTAAATTACACCGGAGATCTTATCGGTTCTCTCGCTTTTACTTCAGACAGTGATTGCTTTTCGCAGGATGTTGGCAGCGTTAAACTCCAGAAGTGCAACACCCTACGCCTTAATGGCCTTACGGTTTTCACTGACATGAAGTAGAACGACTAGATTGAATCTATTGTTTCGTCTGCTGCAAGGATAGTTAGTTCATTCTATCGTGACAAAAAAGGTTTTCTAATGAGAATCCATCTTGCACATTTATAAATCTGCCATTCGTCCGTGGATTGAATACTGTTGCCATATTTGGTCTGGTGTTCCTACTGGGCATCTCAAGATTTTGGACAAACTCCAAAGAGGGTTATGTAATGCAATCTCTCCTTACCAGGCATCTCGACTTCAGTCACTTTCTCACCGATGTGACTTCCCTCTGTCTTTTCTACAAATATTTTCATGATAACTGCACTGCTGTGTTTTTTTTCTTCCCTGGTGACCTGGCTACATGAACTTAAGCGTGCTACTAAATTGGCAACTTTTTTTTTTTCCCCACCGTTTTACTGTTAAAATAACTGAGATGCAACCGCAAGTTCTACTCTAACAGTTTCTTTTTTCACGCTTTAACCCCCCCCCCGTGGAACTCTCTTTAGATTTCTTCCTTTCATGATAAATACAATCTTCAAAAATATAAATGCAACGTCAGTTCTTCTGTCTTCTTGAACACCTGTTCACCCCCCACCATTCTCAGACATCTCATTTTCTTTCATTTTTCACTCCCCCTCCCCGCGTTCTGGTGGCATGACCAACTTGCTTGGGATGAAGGGATTTAAAAAAAATCTTCGTTTACCTTCGATTTCTGCAAGGGTCTTCATTCCAAACATTTCCAGGCTACTCTTCAAGGTGCTGAGAATAGAACATGACGTATTAATGATGGTGGACACTGTGGTTGCTTTCATATGGCATGTGTATGTATTCAGAGATTCTTGAATCTGACATTAAGCAGGCATTGTGTTGGTGCATTTATTGTTTTGAGATACGTTTATTACCTTGTCTTGTATGTGTTTCCCTTTTCAGTTTTTCCAATTTTGGCTTTGTTAGTTAAACAGTGAATCGTTTTATTCAGTATAGTTATTTGTAAACACGACATTAAATCATCACATCAATAATGTTTGAACTTAAGGTAATAAAAAAATGAAAAAAAAATCATATTTTATTAGAATTTATTAGTTAACACGGGTTTTACCATTATTAATAACGCCAATACAAAAAAAAAAAATTCACAAGCTCCATAATACATAAAATATTTATGTCGTTAACTTATGTAGCGCTGGCATTGCCTAACACTGTGTCGGACTCTCCCTTACGTATTTATACGTTTACCATTCGTCCATGTATTGACTATTTCTGCCACACCTGGCTTGGTGCTTCTGCTACGCATTTAGAGACTCTTGATAAAATCCAAAGAAGAATCTGCAATGTTATCAGTCCTGAGCTGGCATCTTGTCTCCATTCTCGTTCCCGTCGCTGTAACGTCGCTTCCCTGTGCCTTTTCTATAAATACTTTCATTCTAACTGTTTCTGATGAGCTTTGCTCTTTTGTGGAACTCACTCCCGGCTTCTTACTTTCCGGTCAACTCATGAAATAAAATTCGTTTTATGTTGTCTTCTTAATTCCTGTTTTTTATTGTTCTCTCTTTCTCCCTCCCTCCCTCCCTCCCTCTCCTTAATAATGTTTTTTTTTCTTGTTTTTCTCGTGTTCTTTCTCACTAACACCTTCCGTCCTATTGAATTTATTGCCTTGCTTGTAGCGAAATGATTAAAAAAATATTCCACAAATATGAAAACAGACAAAAGAATGTTCTGAATAACGAATTCCGAAAAATGTTCTAAATAAATTTAAACTAATGGTAAACTAATGGTAATGGTAAAGGCGAGAATAACCGTTTCCATACAGGAAACATTAGACATCGGTTTCTCAATTCCACTGTTATCCTTCTTTCTAGTGTTGATGAGAGTTTCCTTCCTAATATTTTGTCCGAGGTAATATGGAAGGTCAATATTGTGATTATATCATTACTTACCCTTTGATGCTTCGGCTTACATGTGCTACCCGTTTTAGTTGCACTTATCCTGAAAGTCAAATAATACGGTCGTTGTTATTTGTGATTCTAAAGCTGCAGTCTATAAGATCCAACGAAGGATTATCTCCTTTAATTCTTCTACAGGATTCATTTTCTTGAAGTCGTTTTTGATGGTACATAACAAAGAACCATTGCAACTGTTCAGTCGCTTATGATACACGCTTAGGAGATCCTGTATCTTTCGATATATGACTGACGCAATAAGTTGCCATTTCTGCAGACCAGATTCTTTTTGGGTCAGTCTATATTTCTGAGATGAGGTATTATGTATATTATTTACATTATTCGGACTATTGTCCTCATCTTTGTCGCACTATTTATTACAACGCTTCGGCCTTCTTCAGGTGGTTGGAATTTCGAACTGAACCCTTTATTTCGCTCATATACTCAGAAATTCAAGGACACATGGCACAGTGGATAAAAGCGTTGGTTAGATCCAGTGACAGGACCCAAAGAGTGTGAGTTCAATACCTGTTTAAGGCAGTGGAAAACTTTCAGAGGGAAATTAGCAGGAGATAACTGATAACTGACATCCATCAAGCATGGCACGTGGAACTAGAACAGTCTACCCCAGTGAGCGAAATAAAGGGTTCAGTTCGAAATTCCAACCACCTGAAGAAGGCCAGAGCGTACAACGGCCGAAACGTTGTGATAAATATGGCGACAAAGATGAGGACAATAGTCCGAATAATGTAAATAATAGACCAGTTGCCATCCAAGGGTATAGAACCCGGTCTGTCCTGCTATTTACCCATAGCTGGGGGTGGAGGAGAAGAAAAGGATTCATATCTTTCCCAAGGGTATTAGCACGTAAGTGAATATAATGGATTCGACTGGAATTCGAACTAGGCACCCCGATTCCTCAATCCGAGCCGCTATCCATTACTCCACCGTTTCTCATGGGAAGATCATTAGAATATTCCAGAACCTATACTAAAGGCAAACCTCCTGCATACAGATACTAAATGAATTCAGTCAATATACAATAATAGAAATGACTATAAGACAAGGATGTGTTTTTATTTTTACCAGATTTGTTCACATCTTAAAGTGATGTTATTCTCAGAGAATTAGAATTCTTATCAGAATTAGAATTCCTATATTGGTGGCCCCAATCTTAACAAAATTAGATATGCCAATGACACAGTGTTGATAACAGATACTGAAAGGAAAATTCAGGAACTCCTACAGAGCGTAGTAAAAAAAGGGTGGGAGGAACTGACTGGTCATCAATTGTAAGAAGACAGAATATATATGTTGTGGATTCCGAGTTGAAATCCGGTACCAATAAATAACAAACGCCAGGAATTAATATATGAAAATAATGTATTAACGTAATAATACAAACTGGTAAAGCAGGTTAGTAGTTCCAGGGATACGGATTAGTAGCAAAATATCTATACAGTCTTTGATATTGAAGTATTGCTGTATGACTTCTTACTGAGTCTACGTGCTCGCTCACTGTGACTCCTACAACGCTGTTACCTCACCCCTCACTCTTCCGGTTACCTACAACCTTTTACTCTGTCACTCTCGACACGACTCCTCGGTCATGCTCTCTGGTCTTCATGTAGCCGTAGTATATCTATATAATGGGCGAGTCCATTTGTGTAAAAAGGAGTGGACCCATCAACAGTATAGTTTTGAGCAAAACTCAGAGTTCAAAGTACGAATTACCAATTGGAGGTATGAAAATCGAGAAAGTTCAAACATTTAAATATCTGAATAATGTTTTAACAGAGGACAGAAAATGCGACACTGAAATCCGAAGACGCATTGGGATAGTGAAAGGTGCCTTCCAAAAGCTAAGCAAAGTATTAAGAAAAAGGAAAATTTCGTTAGAAACAAGCGAAGATAACTTAACCGTTGTGTCATATTGGTCCTCCTATATGACACTGGATGTTGTACAGTTTGTTTTTTTTTCACGGATGAATAGACTTGAGCAACAGAAATGTGGTTCTACAGATGGATGCTGAGAATACCATCGACTGAGCATGTGAGCAATAATGAAGTTTCAGAGAATGTTGAAACGAAAAGGACACTGAACATTAGAAAGAGACAGTTGAAATTTCTAGAATATATAATTAGAAAAGAGGGCTTAGAAAATTTGATACTGACAGGACATTAAAGGCAAGACAAAGAGAGGGTAGCAGTATCTAACCTATTTAACGAGCTTGCGAATGGATGGCAGAACAGGAATTAGGCGAGACAGCGAAATACAACATTTTACTAAGAGCTACAAAGTACAGGAAATTGCGAAAAGTTATGATCACCCACGT